CACCACCAGTCCCCTAACCTGCCTAATAGAGGACCGTCCCATCACCCATTCCTTCCTTATCATGTTCTCCTGTCCCGACCACCCTCCACTTTTCCTCCGGAATCTCCATCCTTCTTCTTCTCTCTCTTTCCAGATTCCTCAGCTCTGCCCACAGCCTCTCCCACCTTACCAAGGCTGCCCCCTCCCCGGGGCAGACTTAACATTGTTTGTTAATGGCAGCTCTTCCGTGAGAGATAACGGCAGGCACCAGGCAGCCTATGCCTTTGTCTCACTGATTGCTTTTACCTCAGCCTTACATCTAGCCAAAGGCAACTTCTCCGTGCCCACGCGGACAGACATCTGCCTCAGCCACCGGAAACCAACTCTAATATCTCTCACACGGGTATACACCCCGGTGACTCGGTACTTCTTGAAACTCTTCACTCTAAGCCCCTTGAACCCCAGTGGACAGGGCCCCATACAGTCGTTTTAACAACACCTACGGCTGTAAAACTTCTAAACGACCCTACCGGTTCTTGGCATCATATCTCACGCATCAAAAGGTCCCCACCTCAAGATGCTTCCCCATCCTACTCATGCCACCAGGTAGGTCCCACTAAACTCCGTCTTACGCGGACTTCTATATCTTCTGGCCCTTCCAACAGCTGCTCCTGATTCAATTTATGTCTAAAGATTTAAGGTACGCGAGTCCCTCCCCTTGGGACTCACCCACTGCGTCAATACATTCATCCCGGGTCCTTGTTTCTCTGTCATAGTAGTCCCTTAATTAACTCTATATGATTTTGCAGATCGCCTACAAATTGCTCTGAAGACCACGTCTGCTTCGCTGGCCTCACTACAAAGACAACTAACCTCGCTGGGTCAGTTCCTCCAGCGCCGCCTATAGGAGGTATCTCAAGTGGCAGTAAACCACCTACCTCTTCATCCATACTCCCCCTGACCAGTCACCCCTCAACCAGTCACCCCTCCACCAGCCGACTCCGGCCCATAGCGCCTAACTACGTCCCCTCACAGCAGGAAGTAGTCAGAAAGAGCGGCACCCAACATAACCAAAACGCCGGAATGTAAGGCTGGTGGCGGGCACCCCTCCCCTCCCTGAAAAAAAAAGAGGAGCCCACGAGACCCGTCCTAATACTGTAACAAAGAACTCTCCACTTTGCGTGCCAAAACTTCGCACCGAAGAAAAACCCCCATCCCCCAACTCTAAAACCTTTATAAGCCCGCTTAACATTTCTGGGCACGTGACTTCTCTGGCCCCCTCTCTCGGGACCAGTGAACCTCGCCTGGGAGCGCTCTTTTTCCCCTTTCCCCAATAAAGCCTCGTTGCTTGCCCTTTACACTCTGCTCGTCTTTCTTTCTCTGGTGCCGAACATCCAAAAACCTTACAGGTATTACACTGAATTCAGCCACGTTATCATTTAGCCAGATTACTGCAACATTCCCAATGGAATCCAATCCATTCCTCCACCAATCTATTCTTTAGACGTCAATCAAAATAATTTCTCTGAAATAAAACCAGTCATGTAATTCCTCTTTGCAAACTCTTCGAGTGGCTCCCAATGTGCTGAAAATAAAGTTCATCTTCATTAGCATGGTTTATGAGGTCATTCATAATTTTGCTCCTTCTAAATTCTCTGGTTTTATCTTTTGCTCCTTAAATGTGCTCCAGCCCTTCTTTATTACTCATAGATTAGAACACACCTTTTCCTGCATTACCTGGAACAACTTCCTTATCTGCTTACCTGTCTAGCTCCCACTTTTGCTCCCACTGAGATGTCACTTTTTCTATTAATAGTAGTCTATCTTAGTCTGTTTTCTGTTGCTTGTAACAGACTAACTAAAACTGGGTAATTTATAAAGAAAAGGAATTTATTTCTTAGCTTGATGAAGGCTGAGAAGCCCAAGGTCGAGGGGTCACATCTGGTGAGGGCCTTCTTGCTGGTTGGGACTCTCTGTAGAGTCCTAAGGTGGCACAGCAGGGTATCACATGGTGAGGGGGCTGAGTGTGCTTGCTCAGGTCTCTCTTCCTTTTCTCATAAAGCCTCCAGTCCCATTCCCATGATAACCTATTATCACATTAATCCATAAATGAATCAATCCATTCATGAGGGCTTTCATCTCTTAAAGTTACCACCTCTCAATACTACCACATTGGAGTTTCAACATGAGTTTTGGAAGGGACAAATATTGAAACAATAGCAGAGCCCTCCACCAACAGCCTAGGATTGGCGGGAGTGGGGTGGGGTGGGGGAGGTTTGTCTATAATTACCCAAAAAACACTTAGCTTGATCTTATCTTAAAATCCTTTATATTGCACTAAAAATGCCTGTTAATCATCTGCTTTTCTTTAAGAAAAAGCTCTTGAGTGTACAGATCATTTTTTTTCCACGGTTTTATCTCTAGCAACTAGCACAGTATTTGACACATACAGCGCTCAATAAACACTTTCAAATGATGTAAGAAATAGCTGCATTTACTAATAAAATTTTTAAGCTGATTTAATACATTTTAGTTATATCCACATAAGTATTTATGCAGATTGTGAATTGTTAATTTCTCAAAACATTCTCCTGAATTTCTTCTTTAGTCATTTTTTGTTTCTTCTAAGTGCACAATTTTTTACACTCAAAGAGAATTAAGAGCAAGACAATGAAACAAAATCTAAAAGAAAAACTGACTGGGAATAATTAATTTATCCCTATCAAGGCCTTATTTTGCACAAACACTTTTCTGAATTAAAATTTTAGATAAAGAAGTTGCAAAATAAGGACATACCTACCCAGAATAGCTATACTCAGGCCTTAAAGTTAAAGAGACCTACAGAACAAGATTTGAAATATTGCTTCACCAGATACAACACTTGTAACTTTGGGTTAAAATACTTAACCTGTCTGATCTCCCCTCCCCCTTTTTTTTTTTGGAAGATAGATAATATATGGAAACATCTAGCACTTTGCTGGCAAAAACATGCTGCTCAAAAAAATGGTGGCTTTTAGGCCGGGCGCAGTGGCTCACGCCTGTAATCCTAGCACTCTGGGAGGCTGAGGCGGGCGGATTGTTTGAGCTCAGGAGTTCGAAACCAGTCTGAGCAAGAGTGAGACCCCGTCTCTACTAAAAATAGAAAGAAATTA